AAAGTCGACTTTTAAGAGCTTTTCCATCTCTTCTGATATAGCCTGATTCCTTTCTGGAACGAAAGTCCTCCTCTTTTGTCTAACAGGTTTAAAGTCAGGATTTACATTTAAGCGGTGCTCTATGATAGTGGGGTCTATACCCGGCATGTCTTCATAGACCCATGTAAATACGTCTCGATTCTTCCTGAGGAATTGAGTAAGTTTATCTTTGATACCTGGGGGGAGTAAAAACCCTATACTCACTTTTTTCTCGGGCTCACCGTCACCAAGGATGACCTCTTCTAGCTCATCTGTAGGTTCCGCTCTATGAAAGTCTGGTCTATCTTTCCCTTCCAGCCCTTCAATCGTAAATGCCTCTTACGATTTTGTTTTTCTAAGAGAGGCGACATAACATTCGCGAGCCATTGTTTGGTCCCCTCTTAGCTCTCCCATACCATATTCAGTTGGGAAGTGCATCAGGAGATGGTAAGTGGACGTGATTGCTTTCATGGCATTTAATGTTGTCCTCCCCAGGATAATATTGTATGATGATGGGCAGTCCACCACTACAAAGTCCACCATTACAGTGACCTGCTTTGGATTGGCTCCTGCAGTAACTGGAAGGGTAACTGCCCCCAGTGGATGTACTTTATCGCCTGAAAATCCCACCAGTGGTGATTTCATGGGTCGGAGCTTCTCTCGGCCAATTTTTAATTTCTCGTACGCCCTAAGAAATAATATGTCAGCCGAGCTACCATTGTCTATCAGTATTCGTCAAATAGTGAAATTAGCAACGACCATGGAAACTACCAGAGGGTCATCATGGGGCTGGTGAATTCCCTTGTCATCTTCTTCAGAAAAGGTTATGACCGGCTCCTCAACTCGAGGTAATTTTGTTGGAGGACTTGTCATTCCAACTTCATTCACCTCTGAAAAACTCCGAATTCTCCTAGCATGAGCCCTCCGAGCCGAACTTGTCTCACCACCACCAGCGAAGCCACCCGATATAACTTTGATCTCACCCATTGGTTGGTGTTGAGGAGGGCGATCATCTCGGCCCTCCCGGGCTGGGTTGGAGCCTCCTTTTCCATTTCTAGTTGTGAATTTGCGTAAATGACCTTTACGAACAAGGTTCTCGATCTGGTTTTTGAGGTCGAAACAATCTTCTGTGTTATGTCCATGGTCCCGGTGAAACCTACAGTATTTACCTAGAGACCTCTTTGTTGGATCAGCTTTTAGCTTTAACGGCCATTTCAATGATGCGTCATCTTGAATCTGCAGAAAGACTGGCTCTACAATGTATTTAGGGGGTATAGTTATTATACCTGCCTGGGCTCACTGGGCGGCGAGACGATCTGTCAGCCTGGTTGTTTGAGAATTTCTTGTACTTCGATTCCTTTTCCTCCCTAGTGTTAGGTGCTGGCCTCTTCTTCTCCGACCTCTTATCTTCACCATCTTTGTTTTTTCGTGCATTCATAGCACCCTCAGCGTTCATGTGCTTCCACGCTCTAACCATCAACTCTGTCATGCTTGTAAGGGCTTCTTTTGATAAGGGAAATAGGAACTTAGAAGTCTGTAGTCCTCCCATAAAGGCTGTGAGGGCAACTTTGTCGTCCACCTCTTCTACCTGCAGCATATTAGCGTTAAAACGACTTATGTAACCACGGAGAGGCTTTCCCTTCTACTGTTTCACATTCAATAAGTGTGTTGCTGTCTCCTATGCCTCTGCCCAGTGATGAAGTGTCCGATGAATTATTTGCTCAACTCATTAAAGATTTCAATGGAGCCTGGCTTTAATTTATTGAACCAAGGACGAGCCCAACCCTTTAGTGTGGTAGGGAAAGCCCTGCACATAATCTCATCTGGTACGACTTGCAAATACATAAGAGCTTTGTAGGTCTCCAAATGATCGAGAGGGTCCCGCGTCCCATCGAAGCTCTCAAGAGTTGGCTTATTAAATTTGCTAGGTAGAGGACAACTCATAACTTAACAGCGAGGCTAAATGCTAGGTTGGTCTTCTGTACCAGATCGTTCACTGTGGCCTGGCCCTTCCCTTTCATTGCTTGCATGACGTCTTTGACCCTAGTTCTCAGATCTTGCATCTACAGATTGAAATAAGTGACGTCTTCAGTCTTGTCACCAACACAACCAGAGGTACCTGTACGGAGCCTGGTATTATTCCGTTCAAGAGACCGATGGTGATGGCTTCTCTGTTGACCCCCTATTTGACTAAGCTCAGCGTCGTTGTCAATCTTACGAGAGTCATTATTGGGTACTTCATTATTCTCCACCTCATTAAGGTCGGCTAAGCGTTGTAGAATTATTGAATTTTTCTGGACTAATTGGTTCATTCCCTTATTTAAGGTTTAAACCTATTGTTCCAACACTGTGACGTGTTCCTGATCGTTTGGGACGGCGGGGGGTTGCCTCGTCGAGTCCCTTTGATCAGAAGTTTGCAACGCTTCGTATTCGCTAGCAACCAGACCAGATCGCAATTGAACCATACTTTATTTAGAGAACTAAAATCGTTCCCATAGACGGCTCTAACTGTTGATGATGGATTTTGCGCAACCTAGATCTGATCTGACTTCCTGAATAAAGAGAAGAAAAAGTGATCCTACGAACACCGGTGTGTTACCGGTGGAGTAGGCTCCGACGAACAAGTCAGTGTGAATGATAATCTCCCTGGAGAAATCGAGAAATTGAGTTAGGGTTTATTGCGTACCTCCAAACGTTGATTACCCTGCCTTTTTTATAGGGCTTAGGTTAAGATGTCACGTAGAATTACCTTATTGTAATCTGTAGACTTAATCCTCATCGTAATCTTTAATCCTTATCACAATCTTTAATCCTTATCGTAATCTATAAAGCCTATCTCAATCTGTAATCCTTATCGTAATCTGTAGAGCCTATCTCAATAGTGCGTTAATTTAACAATCTTCCCTTAATTATGGATATTTAAATTATACATCCATTAGGTCCTGTTATTTGTTGTTGTTTTATTTGCAATTTTGTATTTATATATACCTGTTTGTTATTAGGAAAATGAATGAGCAATGTTCTAGTTATCATATTTTGAATATATATATATATATATATATATATATATATAAATAATTTTATAGGCGTATTCCCGTCGTGTCCGTGTCCTATTTTTTTGAAATTTGCCGTATTACCGTGTTCGTATCGTATCATACCCGTGTCCCGTGTCCGTGTCCGTATCCGTATCCGTGCATCATAGATTTTTGGTGATTTAGAAATGTGGCAATTGGTGGAGAAGTCAAAATCTTTTGATTAGGCCAAACACTACGTATGAGTGTCTGTGGAGGGAAAAATCCTCTCTCCAATAAGAACATGCCACATCAGTAGGTAAGGACCGCATGGGAAAATATTGGTGAGGCAGCACACCACAAAGCCAAGGCCCGGAGTCAAAGCCCAACACGGGTATGGCAAGAGGCCAAAAGCCCAATCGTAGGAGCCAATAACTATGATACAGCATCAGCCCGCCCACATGTGAGCAATCCGGCCCGTAAACAAACCGAATCCAATTCGAATATGGAGACATGCTTGCTTCCTTATGAGCAAGGAATGTGAGTCCTAATTCAATTCAACCTTTTTAATTCATTATAAATAGAGGGATGGGCCTCCCAAAAAAGAGAGAGACAACAATTTCTTCTTGGCATCGTTTTAATTCTTGACTGAATGAGTCTCACATTGAACACGTGTCACGATCTCACAGGTTGAATCTTATACAATCTGACAATTTAAATTTAAAATCATTTTTTTATAAAATAAACAATTAACTCTTTCTTATTTATTTAGTTTTAAAATTTAGAACAATTAGTGACGAAATTTCAAGTTAAGCACCCCAAAATTTGACCTCAACACGGTCAACATAAAAAGACGCAGAGAAATCGATGAGATATGAGACTTGAAGCTTTATTAAATATCTAACTATTTTAGTATTTTTAATTTTTAAAGACAACAAAACAAAAAGAAAGCGGCATATATTTTGTTTTTTTTTTTAAATCTTCAATTTATTATTGGGATAAGGGGGAAAACACCCCTAATTGAAAAAGTGTGCAAAAATCACCCCTAATTTTTTCACATTACGTAAAAATACACCTCAATCATAAATCTGACATAAATTAGTGTTGTAATACTCGTTTTTCCTTTTTACTTTTCCAAAAATGCCAAATGGAATATATATACTACTAATATCATAGTATATGGGTGTTATGTGCGCATCACATTTTTTTAAAAAAAAAAAAAAAGAAATTTTTTTTTTTTTCTCTATATATATCTCTAAATTTTTTTTTTTTAAAAAAAAAAAAAAAAAAACTTTGAAAATTTGCAGAATAAGGATTTGAATTTTTTAAGATGTTAGTGTACTATTTTTTACCAATTTATATATATATATATATATATATATATATATATATATATATATTTTCTTATCAACATTGTTAAAAAAAAAAAAAAAAAAAATCACAATATGAGTGTGCACTAGTTTTCGAAGTTTGGAGTAGATTTGTTTTCTTTAGTTTGCATTTTATTTTCATTTCTTATCTTCTATTTTTATCTTTATTTTTATTTTATTTTTTATTTTTATCTTTACTTGTCAATTGTCGGTGTCCTCTAATAATGTTATTTTTCGTTATTTTATTAAATTATTTATTTTTATATATTTTATAAAATGATTCAATATGGGTAATTTAGTTAATTTAGGAAAGGTTGTCGTGTATTGAACCATTGCAATTTCATGGAATGTTCGAAATATCTTACCACCATCTTCAAAGTCATTTGATAGACGACCAAGTCTTGATTCTTTTTATGGACATTTCCACACACACTCACATGGTCACTCTTCCTTGTTACATCTCACACATTTCCTAGAAAACACAACATAAATCTCCTCAAGAAAATTTTATTCTGCAAATGCTCTCAAACAGAATCCAAGTTCTCATATATATGTTAACAATGTCCATTGCATTCCTTCCATCACCAAGAATAAGCTCTCTCTCTCTCTCTCTCTCCAAATGGAATTCCAACTTTTCTTCAGAATTCTCTACTGGGACATCAGAGTTCACAATTTTCTCTCAGATGTCCACTACTTTCTCCAAACTCTGCTAGCTTTCATTGCCACCAAATGGAAAACTTGTCCCAACACGAAAAGCCGAAACACTGATCAGCCATTGCAGTGCATTCCCATTGATCGTGAGATTAATCCCATTGTTGATGATCAAGAACTTTGCTTTGGAGAGCTAAAGATGGTGATGGACAGGTTGGGTATATCGTACGATCCAATTGGTGCTGATGATGACAAGTTTGGTGTAGAAGAGTTTTCAACAATGTTTGATGATGAAGAGCCTTGTTTTGAAGAGTTGGAGGAAGCTTTTGGAGTGTTTGATGTGAACCAAGATGGGTTCATAGATGCAACTGAGTTGCAGAGAGTACTCTATAGTTTAGGGCTAATGGAGAGATCACAGGTGGAGGAGTGCACTAGGATGATTTGTGCATTTGATGAAAATGGGGATGGACTCGTTGACTTCAATGAGTTTGTCAAATTAATGGAGAAGTGTTGCTAAAAAGTTCTTGGCCAAATAATAATTTCATCTTTTTATTTTATTTTTTTTTTTTCAAGTTGGACATGTATCTAGTTTGTGGATATAAAAAATAACGTGTTTTTTTCTTAGTCTATGTACTGGTGAAATTTCTTTTATGATATGAAATATTAAATTTTTGTGAGTTAGGAATTTGACTTGGACCAAACTGAAGTTGAATCAAGCCCAACGAATCATTGAAGAAATTTTGATAGTTCCTTAATTGTTTGAGTTGGTTTGAGTTGAATTTAAACTATTATTACAAAAAGATAAGTTTGAATTTCCTATATTAGGAATTCAACTTGAATCATTCTAAAGTTGAATTCAGATTGACAGAGCCATTTAACAAGTTTTAGGTTGAGTTTGAGTTGAATTTCAACTATTATTACATAAATAAATATAAATTCGTTCAATTTAACTCATTAGATTGCGTGACAGGTTTAGCTTTTTAACCAATTTCTTTCAAATTGTTAACATGTGCAATTCATCTATCTTGAATCGAATACAATTTCTGCTGAATTTTCATAAGAAAAAACACAAATTTCCAAACACAAAACTAATTCAGATAAGTAGTAAACGCATAGTATTTTTTTATTTTACTTTTTTTTTATCCAATGTATTTTCTAATATAAAAAAGAAAAAACTTTTAGCCTCAACCTATCCAAACATCCAAATTGGTAACCAAATTGAGATTTGATAATGATTTTTGTCGTAATAAACACCTTGATCTTGGAATTGAGATTTGGTATTGATTTTTGTCCTAATAAACACCTTGATCTTGGAATTCTAATACTCCTCATGCGAGTAAATATTAGGTGTGGTAGGCGCACGGTGTACCATATGCATCCAAAGGTGTACCAGATGCATCCAAACTATCCATATATTATACGCACTAATACATGTAAATCTTAAACGGCTTATACGCACTAATGCATATATTATACGCCCAGTACACCAAGCGCATCCGATATCTATTCTTCTTCTACTTTGTAACAGTGATGAGCACCCCATATCTGTTCTCCTAGTACTTGTGTAATAGTGATGAAACACCAAATCCAACAACAATAATGAGAAAGCCCAGTAGATGGTAGCTAATATTTCATTGGAAGCCTACGGTTGACCATAAAATCATGGGAATAGATCCAATGCATTCTCCTCATTGGACCAAAATGGTTTTTTTCTTTTTCTAAATAAACAATGTTCAAAAAAATCTTTATTTTATTTTTAAGTAGGGATTCTTTCCCAACCAATGATATGAGCCAATCATATAGTGACACGTCTTCCCTAATGATACATATAAAAATTAAAAAATTGAAAGGGAATGAAGATCTACGCATGTTATCTATGTGGTCAACCCAAAAAATAATAATAATCAGCAAACTCTTGCTTAGTCTTTGTAAATTGAGTAAAAAGAAAGTTGATATGAACATGAAAAGGGAAGGATAGAGGAAAGAGAGAGAGACAGAGAGAGATGCAAGCAGCAATCAAGTGATGATCCCATTACTGGAAGAGAATTTGAGATTAACAGAGGAAGATGAAAATAAAAGAGGATACGATCGTTTGAAGCCCTGACAGAAAGCATCCTTGGTGTTAATAAGGAGACTTGTCCCACATTGAATTTGATGGGAAAGTTGATAAGTATATATGAGTTGAGTGTTAATCTTACCTAATAGGTTAAGCTTTTGAATTAAATTACGAAACACCCGCTCGTTACTGTATTTTAACTGTATATCCATATGAATTTATATATAAGTCGTAGTGATGATCTGATTTTTCCTTTAACCATCTTTATATGGTGAACAAACTTGAATATTTTTTTCTTATTTATGTGTATTTCTTTTTAATAATTTCTCTATTTTTTATACTTAAATTATTTATCATAGAGTTTTACTTACATACAATGCACGTGTTTTTTGTTAGTTAATTAAAAAGGTGAAAAGAAAAAGAAATGGAAGTCCGGTCAATGTGGTTCATTTTCCTTTTTTTATTACTTTCTTCAATAGTTAGTACGGTGTACCTACTCATTGGTGGTGAGTATAGAAATATTGTACCTCAATTAATTAGTTTTGTCTAATAATATTAACAGTTCCATTTTTTAAAGAGTAATGATATTTTGGACTACTTTCTCAGCGTGAGGACATCCACATATTTGAAATGAGAAGAGACGATTTCGAATGCATTTGGAGATTGCATCAAGTGTTCTCTCCTGGGTACAAGAACGATTAAAAAACACTCTGGCATTGCGATTTTTCGAAATGTGGTACATGAAAATCGTCAAGGTAAGTTTTTATACAAGGATTTTGCTTGATTTTTTCTTTTGCTCCCAATTGGATGCCCAAATTAAAATTCTTGTCAATTTCTAGGGCTAGTATAGAAACCTCGATCAAATTTTAGATGAATAATTGCATTGATATAGAATAGATGGTGATGAGATTCAGGCCCATTTAGGCAGAGTGTACGCACATCAGGTTGCATGAGGTATTCTTTCATTGACTATTAATTGCATTTTTTATCGTATTAATTTCAATTTAACTGCTATTACAACTCTTTTTATTCATTCAACCGTCATACCTCTCTTGACTTGCCCATGCATGTGGCGGGAATGTTGCTTGCTATGCAAATTCGATTGTGAGTCGGGTGAATATATGGCGGCAAAGGGCATGTTTTTCTTGATGTAGATATCAATTCTATGCATTTTTTCTTTTTTAATTCACTTTTTTTATTCAATTAAACATTCTATCTTTTTATTTTTAATTTTATCTTCATTCCCCACTTGGTTGGTTTCAGGGTTTGTTTCCCACAGAAAAACTTTCTTTAAATTTTATTTCATGTTTTGCAAAAATACTTAGAACCCATATTTGAATTAACCAATTTTATTTATTTTTTTTGTACTTTTTTTTTCATGAAGGAAAAACATATCAGTGTTGTCTATGATCTACTAGATGGAGGTCAAGTTATGGTTTTTTTTTTTTTTTTTTTTTTTTTTTTTGCATATATTCAAATAGTTACGATGATACTATGACTTTTTCTTTAACTATTTATATACAAAAGTCGTGGTGATGATATAATTTTCCCTTTTAAGTATTATTTATGTGTATTTCTTTTTAATAATTTCTATATTTTTTTTATACTTAAACTATTTATCATAGAATTTTACTCACGTGCAATACACATGCTTTTTGCTAATTAATTAAAAATAAAGAAAAAAATGAAAGTCGGGTCAATGCGGGTTCATTTTCCTTTTTTTTTACTTTCTTCAGCAGTCACTATAATGTACCTACTCACATAAGTATTGTCTCTTAATTAATTAGTTTTGTCGAATAATATTTAACAGCTCCAAATTTTTAAAAGTAATAAAATTTTTGGCCAATTTCTCTGCAGCAAAAATTCGAATTGAGAAGAGTCAATTTCTAATGCATTTATAGTTTGCATTAAGTGTTCGCTCTTAAGTACAACAATAATAAGAGAACACTCTAGCGTTGCGCTTCTTCAAAATATTGTGCACGAACTTACAAGGTAAGTTTCCATACAAGGATTTTGTTTGATGTTTTTTCTTTTGTTGCCAATTGGATGCCCCAAATTAAAATTCTTGCCAATTTCTAGGGCTAGTATGGAAACCACATTTGAATTGAAGAATTAACAAATTTTAGATGAATAATTGCATTAATGGAATAGATGGTTATAAGATTCAGACTCATTTAGGCAGAGTGCACACACATTAGGTTTCATTAGGTACCGTCTGGTAAGCTTCTTGTTAGTTCAAAGATTTTCTTAGATGGCTAACCAGGAAAAAAAGTACGTGAATATTTCTAAACATTTTTTTTGTAGTTTTTAAAATGAAAAATTAAGGTTTTTGCTGCTTTGATTCAAAGTGTAAGTTTTTTTCTAATACAAATATTATTTCATTGACTATTAATTACTTTTTTGTCATATTAATTGTAATTCAATTGCTATTATACTTATTTTTATTCATTCAACCGATATGACTCTATTGAGTTGCCCATGTATGTGGTGGGAATGTTGCTTGATATGCAGATTCGATTGAGGTATGGTGGTAAATGGCGTATTTTTCTTAATCCATATATCAATTCTATGCATTTTTTGCTTTTTTAATTCACTATTTTTATTCAATTAGACTTTCCCTCTTAATTTAAATGTTCTCTTCATTCCCTACTTGGTTGATTCCAGGGTTTTTTTTCCCACACTAAAACTTTCTTTAAATTTTATTTCAATTTTTTACAAAAATGCTGAAAACCCAAATTTGAATTCAACAATTTTATTTATTCATTTTTTCAAAAAGGAAGAACATCTCAAAATTGTCTATCATCTACTAGATGGAAGTCGGGTTGCTTTTTCTTTTTTTTTTTTTTTCTTTTTTTTTTTTTTTTCATATATATTCATATAGTCGCGGTGATCAGGGGCGGAGGGCACATGTCCCTCCTGAAAATTTTGTTTTCCCTACTATGATATGCATATTTGTTTTGAAAGTTCAAAAATGCCCCTCCTCAAAAATAATAAAATTAATGAAAAAGAAAAGTTAGAGTGAAAACATGCTATAATTTGCAAGGCCTAAAAGGGAAGAGAATGTTTAGTAGTGTGTTATGTGTAGGGCCTAGAGCCTAAAAGTGGAAGACCAATGGTTAGTGGTGTGTTTGAGCGGTGATAACTTTGTAGTTGGTATGTGTACTGGTCAATTTCTGAACAAAAACAGTAAGGTCCTTGTATAGAATCTTCATGCTCTCTCTGCCCGTCCTTGCTCAATTTTTCAATTTCATTTTCTTCCATTGCTCTTTACATAGTTCAACATCAGAATTAGAATAGGAATGAGAGAATTTAAAGATAGAGATAGAAATCAGAATCAATCTTCTATTTTGATGTCAATCTATCATCGACTCACCCCTCAATTTGCAGGGTTTTTTTTTCTCTAAATTTGCAGGTAAAATACACTCATTTTTTTTTATAGAATATGAAAACCCTAGTTTTGTTTTGTTCATATGAATCTATTATCTATTTTAGTAACTGCAATTTAGTTCTATATTGTTCACAACGTCACATGAATCTATCACATGAATTAGATCAAGAATATTATACTGCTGTTTGATAATTTTGTGATTTTGCTATGATTTTTTGTTTTTATTGTTTGCCTGAAAAAAATTATTTGTTGGTCATTTTTATTTATTTATTTATTTATTTATTTATTATTATTATTATTTTCAAATACACCATGCCTCCCCTAAAAGATACAATCTGGGCTCCGCCCGAGTGGTGATGATATACTTCTCTTTAACTATCAATGTATATGGATGTGTATATAAGGCTTATATATTATAAGCCATGGTTATGATCGGATTTTTCCTTTAACTATCTATATATATTGAACAATAACTTAATATTTTTTCCTTATTTATCTATATTTCTTCTAAATGATTTATGTATTTTTTATACTTAAAATATTATTTATCATAGACTTTTACTCACATGCAATGCACATGCTTTTTTGCTTGTTAATTAAAAAGTTGAAAAGAAAAAAAAATGGAATTCGGGTCAATACGAGTTCATTTTTTTTTTTTTTTTATCACTTTCTTCAACAATAGTATGATATACTTATTCATTGGTGAGTAGGTACGTATTGTCCTTCAATTAAATAATTTTATCGAATAATATTGGCAACTCCATATTTTAAAGAATAATAACATTTTTTAGCAACTTTCTGCGCACGAGGACATCGACATCTTCAAACTGAGAAGAGTCAATTTCAAATGCATTTAGAGATTGCATCAAGTGTTTGTTTTTGGGTACAACAATGATTAGAAAACACTCTTGGGTACACGAAACTCATCGAGGTAAGTTTTCATACAAGAATTTTGCATTATTTTTTCTTTTGTTTCCAATTGGATGCCCGAATTACAAATCTTGTCAATTTCTAGGGCTAGAATGGAAACCAAACTTGAATTGAAGAATTGACCTGACTTATCCAGAAGGTGAGTGGTGAGTGTTTCCATGTGATAATGCCCTCTTATGTTTATGAAACAGTAGCATAACTGTTGATGCTCCTCCTTTGCCTGCTGTTGAGATTAATTGCATTGATCAGAGGCCACATGATAGCCAATGATCACACAAAATTGATTATTTGTTTTCATTGTTGACTTCAAATCTAATGAACTTCCTTGCCATATTATCTCTAGACCAGAGTCTGTAATAGATCATATAAAACACCAAACCCAACGACAATAACGAGAAGGCCCAATTGATAGTAGGCTAACAATTTTTTTGGCAAGCCCACTGTTGACATAAAATCGCGCCATAAATCCAACCATTCTTCATTAGATCAACATATTTTTCCTTTTTTTTTTTTTTTTTTTTTTTTTTTGTACCCTATAAATAAACAATGGTCAGGCAAATATCTATTCTTGCCCAGCTTTAGTTTCTCATTTTATTGGATCGTATCATTATTATAATAAGTGAGCCCAGCATATGATTTGATCATATCATTAAACTCTCAATTAATTAGTCTTGTCTAGCAATATTAGCAGTTCCATTTGTTTTTTTTTTTTTTTTAAGTAATGACATTTTTTCATGAATAAGTTTTTTTATCGTTTGCCAGGCTAAAAAAAAAAAAAAACTTGCAAGGGTAACATCTGATCGTTAGCAATCTCAGTTGAGAGAATCAAACCGATTTCTGAAATGTTTTTGTGGATATTCCTTAATGACTCGGCTATTTATGTAACAAAAGAAGCAGATGATTAACCAAAATAAATGTGGTAATCACGGAGTTCCAATTAATATTCACAATTTTCTCTGTTTATTGAAAATAATCACCATATGTGCTACATTATTAGTACCTAATAATTTCTCCTCATTTTAAAGGGGAGGCTGAAACTTGGCCCATACAAATTAAAGGGTTGAAATTTGGAGCTGTTGCACACATCACATTGTCCTTAAATTCAGGCCAACTGCACCACATTTTACACCATAGTTACTAATCATGACTTGCATCTCATGTCACCCTCTTTATTTCACTAATATTCTTTTGATTTCTTAATTAAAAAAAATCATCAACATTTAATTCTGAGATAAAGGAACAAACTTTCCCTAGCACACCCTTATTTAACAAATTTAAATATATCTTCCTTGTAGTAGTACTATAGACATTACATATACATGTATGTATATATATATGTGTGTGTGTGTCTGTGTGTGTATCTAATGAATATTTGGATCAACCCCACCAAGCATATGGGACAGTTCCATAATCCTATCCCATGTGGGTTGCATGAACACTCAGAAGATTCTGCTGAGGCAAGTATGTTTAACAGTTACCATCATGAATACATAAATAGTCAGGAGGGGGTTTCAGGGCCAGAATTGTGTGCCTCACTTTTGCAGGCCCATGAGAAAAGGATGTCTTCAAAGTTCTGGTCTCCTTTTTTGTCTTTCTAAAGCCTCATCATCAATCTCCAAGTTTTTTCTCCCACCCATTAATTAATTCTCTCAAACTCACTCCATTTTTTGTGGCACACCACATAACAAACTTTAATGAATTTTTAATGAAAGAAATATAAACAAACAGACAATGTTTTTTTAACTGGGAATATAATTTGATCATATTCAATGCATTCAAAATTTGATTTTATTCTTTTTTTTCTCTTTTCTCGGTTAGATAAATACTCACGCCAGCACGCGCACACAAATTCCTACTTTGGTGCTCGAAACCCTCACTTCCTGTTCGAGAAAGAAGTGGTTATAACAGGAGGCTAATGGCCAGTGGTTAATTAGTTCTTATTCTTAGTAAATTAAGCAATCAAAATTGAAAAATAAAAAAACAGGAGAACAATGCAGAAAAAATAAAAAGTAAATAAAAATAAAAAGATATCTAGCTAAAGCTAGCACTTTATTGTTTCACATATGGGAAATTAGTAGATTGTACAAGAAAAGCCCAAGTGGGAATTGACTTCAAAAAGACAATTGTGCTTGATATTTTACTGTCACCCAACTGAAAACATCTTCAATTTCTCTCCCTGCCTCTATTTGGCCCTCTCATTTATACTTTGGAACACAGTCCATGTTGTGAGATTTGGAAAACCGTTTTCATCATATCTTTTTTTTCCTTTTCTTGGCTTGGCTTCTAACTTCTTCATGTGGCTCCTACTCCAAGAAAGTCAATGAAGGGTAGTGCAGCAATATTGGTCTCAAAATGGTTGTTGTTGTTGTTGTTGTCGTCCTCCTCCTCCTCCTCCTCCTCCTCTGGTGAATGTGAAACTTGTTCAGTGGCTGAAACTTGCGGTGTTGAGAAATCTGAGAAGCTAGTAGAAGAAGGGTAGTGATGATGATAGTGAGACTGTTGCATTGTCTTTACCAATGGAGGTTGTTGGTGTTGGTGGTGGTGATACATCATACATGACATGCTGGCAGCTTCATCTCTTGTATCCCAAGATCTGTTGTTCTGCTGCCTAAAAATGCTCATCATCTCATGGCTCTTGGGACCTGCATAAACACAACCAACCAACCACTCAAAAACCTGAAAATTATTACTAACTGCTACTAGTGTGCTAAAAAGGTGTACACATATATACATATAACACTGTGTGTGTGTGTGTTTTTAAAAGCAACAAAAAAAAGTTGTGAAGAAAAGGGTTGCTTTAGTCCACATGCAGATGAACAAGACTGCAGGAATTTTAAATATGACTATAGTTCCACTGCAAGGAGAGTGGAGAAACTGTAATAAGAAAATTTGGTAGAAGACTAAAATGGAAACCAATGAGCAGCAGCACAGAAACCAAAATGCACAACACTGCAGCAACGAACACATCATATAGATAGATACATAGATATAATAGGGAGAGGTAAAGGAGGGAATCACAAAGGACACACTACCAGGGAGGAAATCAAAAGGTGTCTGCTGTGCACAAAGCCCACTGTGAGGAAGAGGAGGGACATGCACATTATTGCTTGGCATTGCTTCACCAACACCAACCATGTGGGGTGAACCATTTGATAAGCCTGCAGGACTAAGTACCCCACCACCAAATGGGAAAACATGAGGTGGGTTGTTGAAGAAATTGGCAGCAGGAGGGTATACTGATGGTGGTGGTGGTGGTGGCTCTGTTGATCTTATGGTGCTTGATGATTCACCTTCCATTCTCCTGTAAACATGGGACTGTTGTCCCATCTTTCTCCTCCTGTAAGCACTGGACTGTTCTCTATACTTTCTTGCCATTATGACATGCCAATGATTCTTCACTGCATTATCAGTCCTCCCAGGGAAAAGCCTAGCAATCATAGCCCATTTGTTACCATATAGTCTATGAGCAGCCATTAGCCTCTCTTCTTCTTCTTCAGTGAAAGCTCTTCTGTTGATCCTTGGATCCAACTGGTTAAACCATCTCAACCTACAACTCTTACCTTCACACACACACACACAGACAAAACACCAAAACAAAGATAAAATTAGTACAAGAACAAGAAGAAAAAGAAGAATTTTTTATTAATTAAGGAAAATAGGGAAATTAATCAATTAATTACCTGATCTTCCTTCTAACTTCTCTGCTATAAGATTCCAGTTTTGAGGGCCATATTGAGCTACAAGTTCCTTGAGCTTAGCATCTTCTGCAGGCCTCCAATGCCCTCTGGCACACAGCTTAGACTGACCACAATCTGTTTCTTTGCCATTACTCATGACTGTGTCGCTCATGTTAGCTTTCTCTCGATGATCTTCATTTAGGCTGCCATTGAGATCAATGGTTTCATTGTATTCCCCAAATCCATCACTGCAATCAGAGCCCTTACCTTCTTGATCAGTACTGTTAATGTTGTGGGCTTCCTCTAAACTTCTTGTGGTGCAATTTCTCATAAATGGAAAACCACCCCAACAAGCAGCAGCCCTTCCATTATTACCCTCTGGTGAAGAAGACAAAGATGAAGAGATTCCTCCATAGTTTGGATTGATTGAGAGAGAACCCATGTCTGCAAACACCATCCCCATTGTCATAGAAGAAGAAGAAAAAGGAGAAGAAGATAAAGATGAGGATGAGGAAGTGGTGGAGTAACAGGTAATGCCATTTGTGTGATGATTTGGTGCATATATAACACACTTGTTGGCCATTCCTTCTTTTCTGTGTCTGACAGATGCTGGCTATTTCGCTAAGAACTGTTACAAAGTCATCATCTTCATCATGGACAGATACATACAAAGTGCATGTGAAAGAAAAAAAGATTTTTAGGGACTAAAATGAGAAGGAACTTTGACAGATAGTGAAGAGGAGGGGAAAGGAGAGTTTGCAGTGGGAAGAAAAAACTTGAAACAGCACCAAACAGCAAAAGTGTTTCTAACGGAAGCCTCCTCCCTCTCTCTCTCTCTCTATACATGGCCTTGGCCTCTCTCTCTCTCTCCCCTATCTCTTTCACTCTCTCTCATGAGTGAGGGAGGGAGAGTGTGTGAGTAGTTAACCACCCTGACTGACCGACCTCACACTGACCTGTATGTAACAGTCAACTAGTTTATGTGCATTAATATTTGGTATTAAAAAATAGGTAGTTTAAGAAGATTACAAAAATAGTAGTATTATATTATTATTTTTCTCTTCTTTTTAACAAAATCACACATCATTCACACGTGTGAAGGAGAGAGAAAATCTCTCTCTTTCTCTCTCTATAAGTCTGTGAGTAGGGCTGAAGGTTCTTAGGCTGTCTCTCTGAACAATGACAAGAAAGGCTCTAATGTGATGTCTGCTATCTTGGGCATGTGCAGGTCTAAGACACCTTTCTTTTCAAAGTGGGAAAATGATAGCTTGAAATAGCAACCTTGTCAACACAAGTAAATAACCTAGCTCTCCATCTCCATCAACTTTTTAACTTTAGAGGAGGTTTAGCTTTTGTTTCTGTTAACCACCTGAACCTGAAGTAGACCCCAATCATCAACATCACTAAAACCATGGACCCAAACTGGCCATTGAAACTTGATGTGAAATCAAACTACCCCTAATAACCAAATTAAACTTCTTGTTTAGAATGGAAGGAATTGTTAAGGATGCATAATTGGCAAGGTGTAAGAGGAAAAGAAAAAAAAAAAGAAAAAGAGGGATGGTTTAATAGGTAAATTACATTGATCACCGTTGACGTTTGTTTTAATTGCACAGACATTCTTTATAGTTTCAAAAATTACTTTAACATTATTGAAAAGTAAACTTTTTAACAGTTATCTTTTTTTTTAAAAAGTCAACATGAGTCAAAAACAAAAATATCTAATTTCACACACTTAATATTAGTAGAATGTCACTATTACTCTTATATCACTATATACCCAATCTTTGTATGTATATATTTATGCAAATATGCTATGTATATACATGAATGAATAATTTTTCTTTTTTCACAAATTTCTCCAAAGCCATCGTAGTGATAGATATAAAGAGACATCAACTTAACTTGTCACATTCATACTCAGACGATGTGGAATTATGCACCTATGGCTCTCCAGTAGCCTATTGGTATCACCTACACACACTTACACACACCTGCCCCACAAGGTAGTCACAATCACCCAATATATGGGGCCCAACATCCTCGTTGGTCACACTTCCGATTGGGTCAGGCTCTGATACCATTTGTAACAACCCTTACCCTAACCTCCTAGGTGACCTCCTGGGAAGTCTCTGGACTCGGGGAGATAAAAGTGGACACTATTGTGTCTGCCTAGAGTGAGGTTTGTTACATATATATATATATATATATATATATATATATATATATATATATATATATTCTCTCAAATATTTTATTTTAGTTTAATTTTAGAACTTGTATCCCTAAATAACTACAAAGATGACCTAGATGAGTCCCCCACAACTAGGGCTGCAACTCAGGTGGGTTGGGCGGGTTTGAGGTCTAACTTGAGCCCAACCCACTATATGAAATGCTAAACTCAAGCCCAACCCTAACCTTATCCTCCACCCTAATTATTCAACCTGAGCCCAACCCATCCTTCTACTTTTCAATTTGAGCTTACAACTCAGGCTTAGATTTCATATAAAAATTTTGGGTTGATTCAGGTTACTCATAAAGCTAATCTTCACACCGAAAATTTAATATGATCTTAAATTAGTATTAGATTAAATTACTCTTAAATAAGAAAAAGTTCAAAAACTTTTTTGTAGATTTTTAATAAATTACAAACAATAAGTTAAGATTTAACAAAAAAAAAGTCGAAAAAAAAAAAAATAAAGGTAATCATACTTTAAATAATATATATAATGTATTTTAAAGAAAAAATGTATATGAAAATAATATTATAATTCGGGTTCGGGTTGGCTTAGGTTGCTAGCACTTCAACACAAGCCTAACCCTAATTTAATTCTGGTTAAGATTTTTCAACCAAAGCCCAACCCTAATTATAAAAATGATTGTCCAAGTTCGTAAAAAATCGGGCTGGGCTCGGGTTAGGTTCGGGTTTCCCAACCCAAGTTGCACCCCTACCCACAACCACTCTATTTTTCTCACCTCCAAAATTTCTGTATATTTTAACTCAAACAAATCGCACCTAAGATGCACATCCACTCGCTCCACCACTATATCGCACCTAAGATGCACAATCAAACAATTCACCACCAATGGTGGGTGTTGGCAGTTTTGTTACGATGGCTACATTTTATCCCTCCCTCGTAGCTTTATGTAAGTCACCTCAAATCCACATCCACTTGCTCCACCACCATATCGCACCTAAGATGCATAATAAGACAATTCACCACCAATGATGAGTGTTAATAGCTTTATGGAAATGGCTACATTTATCCATCTCTCGCTCTTTCTCTCTCTATATATATATATGTAAATCACCTCAAATCCACGTCCACTTGGTCCATCACCATATCACACCCAGATGCACAATCAGACAATTCATCACCAACTGTGGGTGCTGGTAGCTTTACGGCGATGGCTCGTGAAATAGGGTTCAAGAAAAAAAAAAGAGGAATTAATTAGGTGTGCGGTGGTTGTTGGCTATGCGACAATTTATACTTAAAAATAGTTCATGTTAAATTTTGTTTTTAACCATTCTCTATTTTTAACTTAGTTCAATGACAAATTCAAATGAATGAGAATTGGGCTTGATTAGAAAGTTTTAGAACTTTAAAGGAATGATAATAGGGTTTACAAAGTTTTAGAGACAGAAAGAAATAGGCATAAAAGGCATCTGTATTAGTCTATTTTGATGTTATTTATGTGAGGATATTTTAGTAAAACTATACAAACTGGTAACCTAGTTAACGGTCTGTCACCAACAAGGTAGGTTAATGTTACAAGATTTCCTTTTCAAGGGAGGTGAAAGTAATTTTTAAAATTATAGGAGAGGTCCGTATAATTATAATAAGGGATAATTTCAGTGAGACCCCCTGAGGTTTGACCAAATATCAGTTTCAAATATCTTTCGAAAATAACTATCACTTAGATCCATTTTCACTTTTCTGTTACTCTCTCTGTTAAAAGTTTGGGAAAAGACATGTTTGCCCCAAATTTTTTAATTACAATTATTCTAAAATATTAGATAATGTAAATGACTTCTATACCCTTACACACACTATTTCTCTCTCCTCTATCTCCATACACTCCCTCTCCCATCTCTATTACAAGAATGGACTTACCGGCGATAACGGAGTAAACGGCGTGAAGAGCAGCGACGAGCAAAGAACAATGACTGGCAAGAATTCGACTAATGGCGAGCACTGTTTTGTGGTGTGGCGAGCAAGTAGTATATCGAAGCTAGCGATGCAGTGGACTGAAAGGTGGAGCGGCAGCTCAGGCGACGGCGAAGGGACATATGTAATACCCCTCGACTCCGAGACATGAGTTGATCAGGCCCAAGCCCAAACCCGAGGGAATACCAAATAAGTAATACTTAATTGAACACAGAATACAAAAAGATTTAAAAAATAAATAATAAGCTGAAAGAATTCTAAATATAAAATCCTCCAAAGATAAAGATTAATATAATCCCAAACCTCCAAAACTTTCAATACGTACAACTCGGGAATCCATCTAGTGGACCCCTAATAAAATTCCAATAAAAATAAAGTACGAAAAATAAAATCCCAATAAAAATAAAGTACGGAAAATAAAATCCAAACTAAAACATAGAAGGAAATCCTACATCGTCGGTAGAATGAATGACCGTCTCTGCTCAGCCTGAACAAGCTCTAAGTCTGGAACTGTCGAACACCTGAAAAATTAGAGTGGGCCTAGCCCACGAATAAGTTCTATTCTAACTACAATCCAAATAGAGACCCGATACGCAGATACATCCTAAATGTCTCAACAATATCTATCTATATATCCACACTACAGGACTCTCACTGGACTACAAAGGGGTCTCAACCTGAATAAAAGACAACATGCAAAACGCACCAGAGGTGGGCATGAATACCTAGACCTAACAGGGTACACATCAACCGTCATAGCTAGCTATGCATCCCAATGCATATACGCTCCCTAACCAACGATCCTGAGACTCAAGCTCATATCGTGGTACCATAGTCATATATTTAAAGTCCGTCCAAAACCAGAGGATGTCATTCAATTGTTCATTGATCTGATATAAGATTAACTAATCCAATTAGTCACTCAACTTATTCAGTTGATCTGACTTAACCACAATTATAAATAATCTAGGTAGTCACTCAACTTACTCAGTTGATCTGACTTAAATATAAGTAGGATTTAATTTTTATAATCCATTCCCTTATTCCAAAGTAGGTAGGTCTTAGCGTTTTGAGCTAAACCATCCCTAATATGCCACTGTCCTATACCGGTGCATATATTCCAAAACATCCATGTAATTGACAGAACATAATATAATAGTTGAGCAATTTAAAGTCCAACACATTAATCCATGTAGTTGCCAGAACAAAGTTTAATAGTTCAGCAATTAAAATTCAATACATTAATCTATGTCATTGTAGAACGAAGTTTAATATTTCAGCAAATAGAATGCAGCGTAAGCACAGATCAAGTCTGATAAATAAATGACTCTATTGTGCATCCAAAACAAGGTTTATAATCATGCTACAGTCCTTTAAATTGCTAAAATAAAATTAAGCAATTAAATCCCTTCTATCCGTTAACATCATGTAAAGTTGTTTACTTTTCTACTGTTCAATCCATTAGCATAAAGGTTTAAATTATGCCATAAAAGGTTTTAATATTACACAAAACTAGTATTTAGAACCCCCCAATAAAGTCCCAAAATAATTAGGAAAGAACAAATCGTCCAAACCGTGCCTAGAAAAAAATTCCAAAATGTGGGAACATAAGAGAGCCTACTCTCAAAACTTGAGAGTAGGCTTT